TATATAGTTGTATAACAAGAAAATGTTTTTATTTAATTAGTTGTTTTAAATAAGCAATTTAATATTTTATTTGAAACAGTAATAAGAGAAGAAATAATTGTTAAGTTGGGAGTAGTCTACCTAAGGCAAAATATAAACTTGTAATTTAGAAGTAGTAAATGGTGAGCTCCAGAGGCTGTTAGATCAGAATTAAATTGATGTCTCCAAGGTAAATTTTTCTAACCAAATATAACCTATCAACAACTTTTATTTCAAAATGCATCAAGTTGTAAGACTTCTTTCAATGTGACCTGACAGACACAAACCAAATTATGAAACAGATTATTCTGCAAGTAAAGAATTCTCCAGTGTTTTCAATATTGAGCACTGTTAACGCAGTGGGCTGCTAAATGCAAGCCCTGAGGCTGCCAGGCCATACCCACTGTGAGAAAATAATCCATAATAGTTTCTGTAATGAAGTTTCTTCTGTAATTTGTTGTAATCACCTTTACCAAACAGTTGTAAATGATCCTATTACTTGCTCTGACAACTAGGATCATCCTGTAATAATTATACAGTTAGTAGTAATATTAATCATAATAACATAAATAATAGCAATAATAATAATAGTAATTTTAGTCGTAACAATAAAAGTTATAGTAATATTAATAGTAATAATAATAGTAATAGTAATAATAATAATAATGATAATAATATAGTAATGATAAATGTGTTTTTAATTAACTTTGTAGTTTGGCAATGGTAGTTAAGAATGTTATATTGATAATAAGAATGATAATAATTATTTTAATGATAATAGTATTTAAGAATTTTTTTTTGCCTCGAGAACCTGGCTTTAAACATATCTACTGTAGCTGTATGCCTTTCCTGTTGCCACAGCCCTTAACTTCAAAGAGAAGGGTGAAGGAACATCAACAAACTAGTTATAATTATATATTCTATTGTGAAAAGTTAATAACTTTGAAATTGAAATTGAAGGTTTTAGTATTGTTTCGATACCAAAAAATGTTGGGGATCTCCAGAAAAAGAAATTCCATCTATCTGATGAATTTACTTAAAGTTTTAAAAAATACTTGTAAATTAACATAGAATTATAGAATATTTAAAATTAATATAGGATTGTTCTTTGCTAATAATTATTATTAATTTAAATTTTTTTTTTTTCTGTGCTTTTTTTTACTCTTATATAATTAATATTCATGTTGGTTTTGATTTTTAAATTCAATGCAAATTTTGTCGGGTGGAGGCCATCTGTATTTTGACATCTGCCAAACACATGCTTCTCCAAATTTATATTACGTAGTTCTTATGTGTAGCACAAGTCAATGATGACGCATGCAGCTAAATGAAAAAGGACAAAGTCCCATGGATTTTACAGTAGGGTGTTAGCTAATGTTTTTCAACTCGTGGACTTCTTCTTAGTACTACTTTATATCAATTAAATAATTCAATAATTTTTATTCCTCCCACATGGGGCAATTATAAAATATGTTTCCATACTTCCACTGTATACCTTTACATTGTACTAGATACTGTTATTTAGGAACTCAGGTATGTAGGGCCCAAATGCAAATGAAATATACTTGAAAAAATGTATACAAAATTAGGTTTGGAAGGAAAAATAAAAGGAAATTCCAATAGTGACAATAGCTTTAAAAGAAACTTTAAAATCTACCAAATTTAACTAATATTTCAATAGTAAAGACTTTGTAATCCTTAAATATATAAAAACCTAAGCCTGGTCTATTAATATAATTTTCATTTTTACTACTTTAAAATTTCTGTGATATAATTTAATATAATAATAATAATTATAATTATAATAATAATTCATAGTTGTCTTTAAGTTACAATACAGTAACATGTTATTCTCTACTCAGAAACAATTTGTATCACAAAATGTTTCCCATTTGTTGATTCTGACAACAATTGTTGTGATTTATCAAGTTGTGGTTATACATGTAACTACATGGTCATAATTATTGCAAACTCAATTATGAGTAACAAATTACCCCCACTGGCTAACACCCTCAAACAGGGGTACTCCATGGAGAGACCATAATATCTGCATCGGAATACTGACTACATTTTTTGTCACTGGGAAATATTCAATTATAGAAATCTTACAACAATAATAATAATATTTTATCTCATCTCATTATGAACATATAAAAACTTATAAATTATATATTACAGTGCATTACATCCCTGTATGGTTTGTTATGTTTTGTTTTTCTTTGATTTGATCTGACAGGCCTTGGCACTGCAGGCGCTAAGTCCTCTCTTTATGTTGTTTGCATTGTAGAAAGTTGGCTGCGATCACATGCTGGGTTCCAATCAGGTGGAGGACATGTGCCGGGAGTGCGGTGGAAATAACACCACCTGTCAGGCTGTGGAGGGTGTGTTCGGTGCCGAAAAAGACCTGCCTTATGGTGAGTAGAAAAATAAACAAACTGTGTTTTAGAGCAAGTGACCTAGAATTCATAGAAATTTGGAGGGGGATATCGGTTTTTATGGGTCGCAATCAAGTGGGGAAGATCGTGTCTAGTAATTGACAGTAACAATTAACATTGTGAAGTTTGAGGGGATAGGCAATTTTTGGGAGGGTAGAAAAATTTTGGCATTGGAAGGGAAATTGTGCATTGCGTGTATAGGGATGTGCTGTTAAATATTTTCAGGAAGGGATGTGAAGATAACAAATTGGGCAAATTTTATTATATAAGGGAATGCTATGGGCATAGGGGAATAGTATGAGAAGGGCAAATAGTCTATATGGGGACTATCCTATTTCCATTTATACACAATTCCCTATGTGGTATGAAATAGAAAGATGGTGTGGATCGGAAAAGAAGGAATACAGAGGGATAACAGTATGGTAAGACAGGGATAGGGTGTCGAAAGTTAGTGGTTTGGAGATTAAGAAATGGTGTGTGGATATTGAGTGGTATAGGGAATATATGGAATAATGAAGTTGAATGGCATAGGGACTGTTACTATTATTTATAATACTGTATGGTTATTTACACCTTTCTTTATGCATTATAAAATATAGTCAATAGTAATATAAAACGATAACAGCATTAAGGATGTACAGTGTTTAGAAGGATGTACCCAAGGATATTTGCTTGACCTAAAGATGATTAATATCAAATTAATAGTTAGATGATGATAATATCGACAGTAATAACTTTGGGCCCCATGGAAGTCAGCATACAGTATACCCTCTGCAGATAAATTAAAAAAATAAATGAAGGCAATAACAATGATAATGACAATGTGATTATGATGATAATACCATATATTGATGATTGTAGTAACAATTGATGATAATGCTAATGATGACATTGATGATGACACAGTGTTGGTGAGCATAGCTTGATATATAGCTGTATGAACTTATATAGCTATATGAACAAGAATTTAAGTTACCCACATTCCTTTCATTTTTGACCTATAAATGGCATTGATGTCAAATCTGATAGATATTTTCAGAAATGAAAGGATGGCCAAGTATTCACATAGTACCTATTTTTGTCATTTAAACTGTTTCAACACTTGAATTATGGCATTGTCAAATTATTGGAGTGATGAGAACTGAAGGCTTTGTAATTTATTACATAAACCTGTTGTAATCTCAAGTGCATACTTAGTAGAGAATCAAGGTCATAAAAACTTACAAAACTTTTGTCAAATTGTAGTAGTAAGCTGCAGTTGGAGGGAAGGGCCAGGGAGTGAGATAGTAGTGGTAACATGGATGGGATAGGGTGGGGATTCTGGTGGGTAAAGCTGGCCTCCTAAGGTGTAGGTAAAGGTTAAGATTAAGGTAGGAGAATAACTGATAATCGTAGCGACATTGTGCTAAATTACGTATGGGTGTCTGTGACTACTCAGGCGCCGTAAAGAGGCGCTTATTGTACTAGCTACATGTTCACATTTCCCAATGACAGGGACTGAAATGAACCATAGCATCGGGCTAGTCCTCTACTCTTCCGAAAGGTGCAAATGGGTTCTTTAAGGTGCACACAAGCCAGATGTGTACACTGGATCTCAATTTTAAGTTCTTATCCTAGAAGAATTGGTTCTACCAACCGAAACCTGGGCTCGAACTAGCGTTGATGTTAAGGCTGTAGTTAGCGCCTTGCCTTACCACTCGCCCCATCGACTAAAGAGAGGGTTGAGTGACAGGAAAAGTCTGCCACCACAGTTTACCATGCACAGTGTCTTCATGAGCAGGGTTGCTGTAGGCCTACTGCCTCAGGCTGCATTGGACCTGATAGGTAGGAAACTCGCAATCACACAAGCATCGTCTTTGCAAGGAAAACCACATTTGGTATTGAAATCTTTGAGCGTTTAGAGGTAGAGTAAGCGAAAACAGCACCTCTAAGGAAGGAGGAAGGATTGTCATGTCAATATTTCTTGGATCCATGCCCAAATATAAAAAAGAAATTAGACTACAGTTTAATTTAATAGGAATTATTAATATTAAAGGAAAAAGACAAAAAATAAAAAAGATCAGGTTTTAAAACTTAATTTTAGGGAAATCTACATTAAAATTTTGTTTTTGAATTGCTAAATATTACTATTTATTATGAATTGTTATTATAATAAACTTAATAAGTTTGATCGGTCTGTTATGACTATATTTAATTTAATGATAGCCTTTATATAATAATTTTTGGTAGAGGTCATTAAGTAAATGAATGAAGCCTTCTTTTGAGTCCTGATGGCTAGGTAGTAACACCTCCTGACACCTAGAAAAACTAGGCATTTTAAAAATATTTGAAGCTGTTCTTTATTTACAACTTATGATTGACATTATATTTATAATACTCTTTATAAACATTTTTACGAAGTATTTCAATGAATGTCTGTAATAAACTATAAATAAACTTATTGTGTTGCAGGGTACAATGATATGTTTACTATAAAAGCTGGCGCAACAAACATAAAAGTAGAGGAAGAAGTGAAAAGTTCAAATTTTCTCTGTAAGTATGACATGACATTTAATTTTAATTTATTTCTAAACCAACACTAATGAAAGCATGAACAAAATCTTTTGTACATTGTTTTGCAAATACATCACCCACTATAATGATGATTCCAAATAAATATTGATTTATATTTTTGGCTGCTGTGGAGAAATGAAATTAATTTAAATAATGAAACAAAATTGAAAAACAGTATTGTTATTCAAAGCCTTTTGAAGGCCCAATATGTGGAACACTGCCATAAGCAGATATAATTATGTATTGGATACCGTTGGGTAATATAAATATGTAGTTAAATACACATACATTATTTTGCTATCAAATAAATTCCTTTAGATTTTGATTCCATGCCTGAATCCAAAGTAGCCCTCATCAAGGCTGCGCCAAATTGCTTGCATTCTTGCTAATGATGTGGGACGTTTATTATGTTGTTTTTAAAATATTAAGTTGTTTTTAACAATTTCAGACATTCCACTTTTTTTTGTTTCTTCATTATTTATAAATAAATATTAAAGAAACATTATTCTTTATTTGACAGCAAGTAACTCGTAAACTAGCATTTTTTCAAGTAAATTTCCATTTTTTTTGTTCTGCTATCCTTTTTTCATATGTGTCAATGATAATCATACCTTAACATTAATGTCCGCCATTATTAGTATTATTATTAAAGATATACCTCTCTGTTGTGAAATATGAAAAAATTGCCTTTAAAATCATTTTGTAAATTAGTTGTTTCAATGGCAGTACAAACGAGGGTCCAAAAACAATGGATTCTTCTATTGTGCTGGAATGGAATCATTTCCATGTCTAAGAGGATAAGAACACTTTCTTGTGGTGTTATTTTATGTTGCTGTATATTGAATATGTTGGGAAGGAAATAAGAAGAAAAAAAAAATAAGAACACTGAGCCTGGAAAAAATTTTACTTGTTCTTATAAAAAAAAAAAAAGTGTAGATAAAATTTATGGAGATAATAACAATTGGTCAAAATAGGGACTAATTAAATACAAGTTCTCAATAGAAACAAATCCTATACACACTAATAAAACTATCAGCAACTCATTTAAGTCAAGGACTGATTATTTATTGTACTTACCCCGAATACCCCTGAGGACAGCTGTAGTCCGAAGCCAACTTGATAATAATCAAGATCAAGTGATAACATTACTCTTTTATCTCGGCTATTATCTAATAATTATATGTTTACCTTATGGATTTTCCTTTAAAAAATATCTATTGTATTGTTTCTGTACTTTACAGCCTTGAGGAACGTCGATGGCTCTTATTACCTAAATGGGGACTGGAGAGTTGGGTATAACCAGCATTTTGATGCAGCTGGTGCTGCATGGAAGTACGACCATGATCCTGACACGAGCACTGAGCATTTGACAGCCATGGGGCCCCTTACGGAACCAGTTGTTGTAGTCGTGAGTAAAGCCCAACATTGTCATAAAAAAATACTTGCCTTAAGCATCTGGGAACGTGAGCTATTAATTGAATACCCTTAAGGTGATGCATATAACAGGGTTGCGGCATGTATTAATGGTGAACTAGGTTAGCAGTTTGCTGTTGCTTTTATTTTGTAAATTTCTTTTTAAGTAGCTGAGAGTACAATTTAGAAGGTCACCTTGTAATGTCTCCCCTGAGAAAATATATTCATTTCTGAAGTATCAATCTGATACTATCTTTGAAATATTTTTGGTGGTGTATTTTGTGCTTTTATTATAATAATTATCTTGCTTTTTAATGTAAATTATTTATTTCTTCTATAAATGTTATATAGGTATTACAACACTCTAAAAGCAACACAACAGTTGAAAACATTTGAGTTGGCATAAAAATCAGTAATAAAACATTAATTTAATCCACGCGAAGAAAAACTCGGACTAATGAGCCTTATCAGCAAAATGATCATAAACTCACAGACCATATATAATATAATTAATATGAGGCATGTCGTGGCAAAATGGTTAAGTTGTCGCACAGACCAGTATTGAGTAAAGGAGCTATAAAATATGGTAGCTCAAAAAATTGCCTAAAAATCCAATTTTTTTTTTCACTATAGATCAACAGTTTAATGTCTTACTAATCATGTCCCAAAGTATTAGTTCTGGAAGTAATCAACAAATCGTTTATTTAATGTTATTTAGATAGTTAATTCTATTAAACAATGTATGCACAATGTAGGCAATTACTCAAAATCATGTTTTTCTTGACTCTAAGAGTGCTGTAATTTCACTTTCCAATAACTTAGGCTTGAAATGTCTAATTTAAATGAATGACCCCTCATTTTAAAGATCACATACTCAGGTATCTGAAAATACTAATAACTTGAATTTCAATTTTTGATACAACTTAGCCATTTTGCCACAACGTGCCTCATATACAAATATCGACTGCTCATGAGGGGAATGGTGAAATCTATTGCCCCTCGGTGATGTGGAGACCGTAGCGTGTCTTCCTTAAAAAATAGGCTACGGCCAATATTTGTTTTGATTCTACAAGACCTAAAAAAGTAATGAAAATAGTACACACCAAGTAGGCCTGGGCTTACGACATCCTAGGCCTAGGTGATCAAAGGACCAATTTCTCTCAGCATCGTAGAGGGCGCGTCACCTTTACTGTTCATGCGTGTCATAAATTACATAGCAATGCGGCCTAGAGATTGCACATTGCGCAAAAGGAAAAAATGTACTATTACTTTAATAGGGTGATATTACTTTCTATTGCCTGCTTCTTAACCATTCAGATGCCTAGAATCTATGTATGTGGTATATAAATTAATAAATAATATAATACTTTAAAAGATGTTTATAGCACTCGTGTCCCTATTTTAAAGAAATGCTCCAGCACTAGAAAAATTTATCGGTAATAACAATTTAAATGCTCTCTATCCAATCAGCATCTGCAAATTCATCACTCTTTCTCTGCCTCTTTATTGCCCATAAATTGTCTACTGGTCACCCATGTGTCCATCCATCTTTATTTTTTTTATCAATAAAAGATGATGTGTACCTGAATCATCTTTGGTACCTTGTGGTACACAAAATCAACAGGTGCCTCAGATTATTAACAATTACGATTTATAGGAGATTACCGAAACCTGAAGCAGCTCACTGTGATAATGGTATGATCTATGGGTTCTGCTGACTTACAAGGGATTCAAAGTTATTAGCCATCTTACTACATTATCCTGATCAGTTGGGAAGAAGTGATTTATGTGGGAATGACCAAGGTGTAGGTCAACATACTACAAGTTGAGGAAAGGATATTAAAGTCCCACATGCTCACATGACTATTAAGATGAGGGCACAATAATTCTCTATGCTTGAAACTACGTGTACTACAACTACTACTACTAATAATAATAATAATCATAATAATAATACTGATACTGATGATGATGATGATGATGATACTCCATGGAGGTATTGATGCTTGCTTTAAAATATAATATCAATAATAATAATAATAATAATAATGATAATTAGAGTAATGATGATGTTGATGATGATGATGATGATGATTATGATGATGATGATAAAATTAATAAACCAACATAATGTGCCATCTAGTGAGTTGTTGATAAAGTACATAATAATAATAATAATAATAATAATAATAATAATAATAATAATAATAATAATGATAATTAGAGTAATGATGATGTTGATTATGATGATGATTACGATGATGATGATAAAATTAATAAACCAGCATAATGTGCCATTTAGTGAGTTGTTGATAAAGTACAAAATTATAATAATAATAGCAATAATGATAATAATTATAATAATGATAATGATGATATTGATAATAATAATAATAATAATATAATAATAATAATAATAATGATAAATAATAAATAATAATAATAATAATTAATAATAATAATAATAATAATAGCAGCAGCAGCAGCACAGGTGAACCTCTGTGGACTAGGATGTTAATCCAATCACACCATAAACACTTAAGTAACAACTTCCTACATAACTTTGCCAATTTTATTATCCATTGACCAAGTGTGACAATATCTTCCTTTATTGGTTTAATCATTTCCATCTATTGTTCAAAAAGAAAACGTATCTACTGTCTTTTAATAGTATTCATGGTATTGTGCTTGTTAATGATAAGATTAAACAATTTTGGAAGAAAGTTATAGTAAACACTGTCTGGTATTTGTACTGATAAGTTTTTATATCTTTTGTCTGGGATGTGGTTTGTATGTATGCAATTATGGAGTTTCGATTCCCCAACATTGTTTACAGTGTACTTCTTTATTCCTAATGATCATGTGTAATAATAGGATTTTTCTTTCCTGTCGGTATGTTTTCCTTGAATACTGCTTGGAGTAAGCTGTTTTAGCATAAATTATTCCCGAAAAATTAAGTAAAAAACGAGAAAAAAAACCCCCAAGTTTTTGTTCAATATGTCAGTTTCGTGAGGTTTGCCTGTCCCACAGGGTAGCCTTCTTGCCTCCCACTGGTGCTGCCATTTACTCATACCTGAATTAATGGGGGAAAGCAAATTTCTTTTATTTAAAGTGCTATAAAATATGTTTTAAACACATAAAAATAATAATAATTGTCAACTTATATAGCGCATATTGTAGGGACCTCTATGCGCTTACATTATTACCCCCAGATCAATGGATCAAGCACATATGCAACACACACTCAAGCCCCATGGGGGAATTCCATAATGTTGCCGCTGTCTTCAGCAGGCGCAGGCTGTGCTTGAACCTACCAGCTACCCACTTGTACTGGGTAGAGAGAGACAACTGTAGATAAAGTGCCTTGCCCAAGGACACAAGCGACTTGCACAGCGACAGTTTCGAACCCCCGACCTCAAGGTTGGGAGTCCAAACCACAACCGATTCGTCAACCACTTCTACATACTGTGTATAGCTAACACACATACGGCCGTCCCAAGGCAAAAACAACCTGTTATTTTTGTCGATTTTGAGATAATATCATTTGGGAGTATATTAAACACGTCTGAATTACCCGTGAAAATCTCAGGTCTCAATAATGAGTCGGATATAGCACCACCTATCTTTAAGCACAAAACTTAAAATCTAGTGGTTTTCCGTGGCAGAACAACATAGCTACATGATTACAGGGCAAAAACAACGTATCTACGATGAAGCTATGTTGTTTTGCCTCGGAATGGTATTCAAAAATTTTCCTGAGCTGATGGAGTTTGGTAAGGCAAAAAATAAAATTGTTATTGGTGTTTTTATATCATTAATCTTAACAGCGAAGTATGAACAAGATAGGTAATGCATATGATTGCCCCAAATGGGATAAATTCCAAAAATATGTCTTACTTGCAACAATACCGAGCCTGACATGCTTCTGAGGCAAAACAACGTATCTATAATTATGGCTAATAACTTTGCAATAAACAAACGGTTGTAATTAAAATTTCACATATAATCACAATGTCTATAGATATACAATTCTGCAAAATTTCAAAAGGGAACAACAATTTATAATTATTTTCGAACATGCAAAGTTTAACTCTGTTTTTCTCCAAAAGTGAAAATTTAAAGTTGCGTTGTTTTGCCAAGGAACGGCTGCATAATGGAAATCTTTATCAGATTTTCAAAAATGCTTTGTCTTGAGATCCTTATCATATTACAGACTATTTTCCTGTTATTATTGTGTACAATATATTTTCTTTGGTAAACTTTCAAAAGTGTTGCTGTCTAACAATGGTAACAGTTTATTTATATTTCCATTCCAAAAGATTCCGATGCAAACATATCCTGTTATTTACTTTAACAAGCAAAAAAAAATTAAACTCTTCCAAGTAGATTTTGCTATATTTATTTATATTATAGCACTCAGTTGTTTGTGTACTTTCAGACGTCTGTTTGGCTTCTGTTAGTTTGCGTTAAAATCTCTTCACACATACTTGATGAAGAAGTTGGCTTCCATTGGATCACTATTGATTTCTGATTTTTTTTAATCAAAAGACTTAATAATATTGATAACAAAAGACAACCAAGATCCCTGAGGACTTCTAACACTTCAATTTATACCATGCAAACATGACGATTCGCAATGAAAACAAACTTTTTAAAAGGGTAAGATCCCACGGGCACTTAGAACGTATCAACACTAGCATTATTGAAGTTTCTTTATAATCTTGATTGCACACAAGAGTTTTAAGTCAGAACTTAGTCTACTGAGATATTTTAAGTTTCGTAGGTAGTCAATCACATGGATGATAGAGTGAGAATTAGAAGAGGGAGGTTCATAGAAGGTTTACTCCAGTAAAATGTACTTTCAATTCCCACGATGACTGATAGATGAGAAAAAATAATATGTAGACTAAAGCTTGGACCTAGACATACTTTTTTTAAATGTACAGGTCACCCTCCACTTGACAACCACTTCTCGGACCTTGGTTTCCATGGTCTTTAGCCCCTTTTATCTCTAATTAGAATAATAAAGACAATTAATTTGGGACCACAGAGAAGTGGTCTATAATTTGGGTCTTTACTTAGAGGAGACTTTTATTACCTTTAATTAATGCTATCTTTATAGTGTTTAGAAAGTGATTTTTTTTTGTATGAATAGTGTGTATGTTCCTGCTAAAAAATAGAGAAAAAAAGTTCTCATAAGTTGTTTGTTGTTAATCGGATTACTAAGATAAGGACGAAAAACTGCACCACAAGAAGTCGAACTTGACCTGTGGGACACAGAAATAATTCTGTGTGTATTCTTTGACAGGAAATTGTTAAATTTTCTTGTAATTTCTTTATTTAATTTGTATTGTATTCTTTTATCTTTATAAATTAGGTCCAATAATTGTACTTTTCTAATTACTGTTAAGTTATTTAATTTTTTTTTTCTTGGTTAGATTCTGAAATTAGTAACAATTGATAAACCTAATGAGTAATCAAACTGGTGTTCTTTGAAGTCACAAACATTACTCTTAATTTGGCTTGGCATTTGGCACAGCTAAATGATCATGGCCAAATGACTGTTATGAAACTACGGATGTTGTTTCTATAGACTATGAGAATAGCTTCTGTGGGGACCCTGCTTATCCAAGCAATAATAACGAATATGTCCCCAGATATCGTGGGTGTTTGTCCTCATAGGGCAATAATTTGAATGCTTTTATTCCTCCCCTGTAAATTTACTTTTCTGGGAGGACTGTTTGTATAGTGAATGCACATGCACAATGAGGGTGAGAAATCAACTCAGGCAGTTGACACAATTTATTGATGCAGAAAAAACAAAATTGAGAATGAAAGAAGTTACACTGGTTTTTATGAATGGGTGTTTTTTTAAGCCAAGGGTGATGAAGTTTCTGCTAAAATCTTGAATGATTGACAAGCGTTGAAAACTTTTGAATCACTACATCAAGATCGTAGTGCTGGAAAAAGTTTATAAATTGTTGAATGTTGAATGAAAGATGTTTTAATAGCTTCAGTGTTACATGAACAAATGATAACCCAAGAAAGTCTGAAGAAGTGGAATCCTTCTTGATGAATTGGGCAGTACACACCAGGAGGCAATTCCATACTTTTTTCTAAAGAGTGTACTGATATTGCACAAGGGAACAACAACTTAAATGTCTCGTGTGAACGATGGTGCCTACTGAAACTTACATTTCAACCCTCTAGGGCGTGGATATTCAACCTTTTTAAGCTGGGGGCCAGTTCCAATCTGTTGAGACCAGTGGTGGGCTGACATAAATTGTGTGAATTGTGAATTCGAAATAGAAGGGGGCCAGGAAAAAACTCTCACAGATAGGCGAAAATTACCATCCTAGCCCCACCATGGTTGGGGGCTGAGCAAGAAAATTTATGATTATGGCACCTCTAGATGGTCGAAAATGGCACTCTCAGATTTATTTGAATATAATTTCCTTTCCTTCTCCATTTTATTTTAGAATAAAAAAAAAACTTGCACTTTCAGACTCAAAAATAAGTTTTCAATGCAGTGTTTTCAGCAGAATAACATGCCCCCCCCCCCAGCTTGCTAGTGCCGCAAATGGTTGGACATCGCATCATATCAGTGCCCCACTTACTGTAATCCATTGTACCCATGTGTTCCATACGTGTTTGAGCCAGTAACCGGGGTAGTTATTTTATATTATTTTCAATCTTTCAACAAGAACAAAAAAGGATGAACAGGGGTGCAGAGGAAAAGCTTAACCAAATCCCTGCCATCAAAGACAATACAATACAAAAACTTCCTCAGGAAACAATGAAAAGGACCAAGTATATCAATTATATATTAAATATATATTTAATACTATATACTTGGTGAACTACTCTATCTATATGTTGAATATTTAAACAAATGTGGAATGTTTCATAAACTGTAAAATGGGCAATGTCAAATTATTCCAAAACATTCGCAATTTAATTTTGAAAAAACTTTTCTACAGTAATCAGTCTTGAAGTCGTTTGAAGATTTCTCCTGAGATTTAAAATTTCTTGAACAGTAGCTTGTTCGAAGGTGATTGTTTTTTCAAGAGTGGTAATCAAATCCATCAGCATCTTGGGTTTTGGCCATTGTGGTGATCAGTATAATTTACCGGCTTTTATATAATGTCTTTCTTCATAATTTCATCACACGATTGGCAAGACAGTAAACTTAACGTTAATCATTTTCCCAGATAATTATATTTGGATCATGAAAATATTTAGTAATTTAATTTAAGGAGGATATGGTTCATCCACTGAAATTCTATATTATTGTACTCCATTTTCATTCCAAAAACCCACTTTTATCTGACCTAATGGTAATAATTATTTCAATTAAAGGATTTTATTTTTCAACAAAATAAATTTACGTTGTAGCCAAAGGCTAAATTTAGTAAAATGTTGCAAACAAAGATATATTGCTCATTATAAAGCAAAAAAAATACACCAAAAACTAGCCAATTATGTATTAAAAAGACACCTAAAACTATAGTATTACTGGACATTGAAACACAGACAAATATTTGAAAACATTTTTAAAGAGTGAACAAGACGGACAAACCTCTCAAATGCATTGCATGATAAATATGATGAAGACATATAGCAATTAATTAATGAAAAATTACCTAAAATAGACCTATAGAAAAATTACTACTGTAAACTAGACTGGTATTCTAATTGCTCTATATTATTATTATTATTATTGTTATTATTATTGTTGTTATTATTATTATTATTATTATTATTATTATTATTATTATTATTATTATTATTATTATTATGTACTTTATCAACAACTCACTAGATGGCGCATTATGTTGGTTTATTAATTATTGCTATTCATAATGATCATTATTTTATTTTTGATGACCCGAGGGATGTCCTTATTTGTCCTCTAACAAAGTTATACATAATATGGTGTAAATTATGAAAATGATGAGGATGAGGATAATGATAAGCATGATTATGATAATAATTGTAGTAATGATAGTGGTGGTAATTGGCATGGATCTGTTGGCATGCTGACTAGCTAAAGCCCAGCCCAGACTATCAAATTTTATTTGACAGAAATATCTGACATGCCTAAATATGGTCATAATGAAATTATGACCATATATAGACATATCATGACTATATATGGGCATACAACAGTTTTTGGATAATGGTGACAGAGCTTTGTGATATTGATATATAATAGTAAATAATTCACTCATGTGGAAAGTTGAAATATGGGATAAATTGGTTCATGCAGAAAAATAGTTTGCCAATTATTGGCAGTGTATATGACAAACTGTTTTTATATAGACTTCTCGAAATGCATTCCAGAGATGTTTTTTCCTATATAATTTTATTTATTTCGTAAATAGTGATCAAAATATGGTATTTAGTAACTAGTGTGGGCTAATTTTTTTCAGTGCTAAAGCAGAAAACTGAATTATTTTTATTTAAAAATTAATACAAATTTGATTAGTGAAATGTATGGATTCAAAATTGAAATTAGCAATGAAATTCTTTATAATTTATTTTATCATGTCTTATTATACAGATTAAAAAAAAAAAAACCTGTTTATTTTTTGATAGCTTTTAACTGGAAGTGAGAATAAAGGCATCAAATACAGTTATTATATGCCAGTTGGGATGAAAACTGAGGAGACTTATTCTTGGGCTACCAGCTCATTTAGCAAATGTACAAAGGAATGTGGTGGAGGTAATCAAAATACCTACAAATACTTACAAAATTTACAATTATGTCATTTGATTAATTTTATGTATGTTTTGTTAATTGTAACACTGTAAACAATTAATACCTTTCATATTAGAGTAGCCAGTACCATCAAAGTTAACTTGGTCACAATACACTATAGCAAACCAGTATTATATTGATTAAATTATGTTAACTAATAGACATGTTGTTTAATTATTGTGTTACTACCTTTGATGTAAATATTTTTATTCTAGTTCCCAACAATAATATTTAATTAGCTGTTGCCTGTGTACACTTAATTGTGACTTCCACATTCTTTTACAAAAAACAGGTAGAAAAGCTTAACCACGGTAAAATAATTATTGTTATTTTTTTGTTTTTGTTCAAATTTAAAAATTATTTTTCTCCATTCTGTTAGGTACCAGAGAAAGGTTGGTATCTTGCATTCGTAATGACGACCAAGTTAAAGTACAAGATTACATGTGTGACAAGGGTAAAGAACCGACAAAATTTGAAAATTGTAACATAGAACATTGTCCTCCTCGCTGGGTCGAAGGTCAGTGGAGCTCATGTTCAGAGACATGTGGAGGAGGGGTACAGTACCGAGTTGTGCATTGCGAGCAGGAGGTCCCGGGTGGTACACAGGAAGCCGTTGATATGGAGTTCTGCGAGACCATATTAGGCGATCATCCAGAGAATCAACGCAAGTGTAACGTGGATAGACAGTGTCCAGATTGGAGCTTTGGTCCGTGGTCAGGTGTAAGTAATTTACTAATAAACTTTAATTATTTCATTATTAATAAAGTCTCATTGATTATATTATATATATTAACTGTTACTGTTGTTTTAGCCGCCTTCCTCAGACGACACACGGCCATCATTGACATGGCCATTTACAGAATCACTGCTGGTGTTCACTTGAGATCAAGGATTTACCATTATAATTGTATGTTTTTACACTTAAGGATTTTTTTCAGACAAGAAAATCTTCTTGAATGCAATATATTTGTTAAATTGATTAAATCCAACATATTATGCCACATTTTTTGTAAACCTCCATTAAAATCAGTAAAAATGTTATCGTCATGAGATATCATCTATACAATTATCTGAAATTTATTTATATTATTTAATCTAATATTGACCTCTGGAAGTAATTGCCTTTTCCTAACTTTTTAGCATTTTTGCCCAAAATTCTGTTATGAGATCTGATCCATTTTTGCGGTGTTTTAAAGCTGAGCATAGTAAATCAAATCAAAATCAGATTAAAATCGATGAATTAATATTAAGCATTTCAATTTTAGATTATATTTTTTCAAATTCATTAAATTTATGGTATTTATTTCTAGTGCTCACTGACGTGTGGCGATGGGGTTCAGGTCCGTGAGGTGGTCTGTCAATCTGATGGTAATACGTTGTCATCTTCCTACTGCAACTATTTAACCAAACCTGAGGCCCAGAAGCATTGTAATCTTGGTCCCTGTGATGGTGTGGATTGGATGACTGAGGAGTGGTCAAGGGTATGTATATTTATTCTTTAATCTAATGTGTTCCTAAAGCTTGACCAACATAAAATCCGGAATATATCTTCACCAAAGGATAGCCCAAAATACTTGTAAAGTATATCATATTTTAAAGTTTTTATAATAGAATTGATACCTTAAACCATGAATTACAACCTTGTGGTTAACATTTATATACAAACAAAATATATACCCAAAAGGGTATTTGGAGATAAATTTTTTCCATCTATAATGTTCTAATGAATTTTTGATATTTTTTTTTTACAATCATGTAAAGTTAAATTGAGATGCATATAATTAAGAATAGTTACATTGACCAAAAAATAGAAGTCTCCCAAAATAAACTTTTAAATAAAATCCCAACAGTCAAAGTTCTATATGAGAAAATGTAATACTGCTTAAAGTTCAATTTTAATGAATAAAAAATCAGACCATTTAGTTTATGTTGAATTATATAAACATCCTCGGCATTGGCTTAAGAAGCTTTTGGCCGGATTAGGCATTGCTTCCCTAAGCACCCAATAATCAGGGACATTAAGTTGTACCTGTTCCCTTCCCACCTTCATATGAACTGTTGAAACCCATTATACAGTATTAACAAGAATGAAAAACACTCCCGAAAAATGTGTCCTTGAAATGATTAAATCATGTGTGTATTAAAAGTGATACTGTTAATGGTTGCCCTACATATTTATTTATTGTGTTCAAAACTTTTTTTGTGAGTCTATATGTTTAAATGGGTATTATTTAGAAAATAATAATAGGCTTTGTTGGCTGATGAAGCATGTAATTTTTGAGATCATACATGAGACAGTCCAGGTACCGTGTGATTTACATTGCATGAGTAAGCTATACAATTTTCATTATCCAGAAATCTCCGCAATACCTTTTTTTTTCATACATGATCATATCGAATGTTGCATGTCTATAGTAGAACATAATTGTTTCTTTTAATTGAATAACCTATGTAGCATAGGCCTAGTGAGATTCAGACAAACAACTTTGCTTATGTTTTATACTTTTTGTGTCCTAGATTTTATAAATACTGTATAGTGTAGATGTATATGGGTGACAGCCTGTTGGGCCTAGGCTAGGCCTCGACTATAAACCACGAAAACTAACCATTACTGAAGCAGTAAAAGTAATAAACCTTCCTTTATTGTTTCCTATGTTTTTGATGTTTAGTGCTCTGAACATTGTGGAGATGGTGTAAAGTCAAGATCCATTCACTGCATGAGTCAAGCTGGCCAAGTTTATCCCGAAAGTTTCTGCTTCTCAAACCGTAAGCCGATAATTACGCGGACATGCTCTCGTGGGCCGTGTCAATACAGATGGATGGCGACGGACTGGAGCCAGGTGGCCATTTTTTAAATCACTTTATTTCATTTGTAAATGATTACAGTATTTACTGTAAATACCGAGTGGTGACTATATAATCCAAACCACATAAATAACAAGTGGCGTAACCAAAAATGTGAAACTTATACTAATAATAAATCTCTTTATTTAGTAATAAGAACTCCATTGGTTTGATATGTTGTATTTTTATAAGACGCAAAAAGGATGTTTGACAAAAAACTTCAGAACGGTTAATGAGATACAGATTTGGAATATTTAAAATTAGAAGAGAAAGAGAGAAACCAGTTGTACATTTTTTCCCTCCGGAGCCTGGCTTTAATGCAAGGCCAAATAAAAAAAAATTATTGTGTTGGCCACGCCCGACTGACCCAAAATGTTCGAAATTGAGAGTCGGCATTTTTTTTTAATGAGCTAAAAAGGCTGGAATAGGCCTATCTTGCGACGGTAGGCGATGCGATAGTGTTATGCGATCGTTTCGCTCTTCAATATAGATTAAAAATAGTCTTTGTTGTATTTTTGTGAATTTTCTACTTTTTAGGCATAAACAATTTTTGGTAAAAAAAAAAAAAAGATAAAATAGAAAAAAACTATTCCTACCAACCTACCCATTTTTTGGATTTATTCCAAAACGTGGCCAACACAAGAAATTTTTTTATTGGCTTAATGGTGATGCTTTTGGTATTGCGTATATTCTGTTCCTGGATGCAATGCGCCCTTTTAATGTTTGTGGTTATTATACCTGGTAATAATTTGTTTTCTTTCAAAGTGTACAAGAACATGTGGAACTGGTGTGAAGACTAGACATGTTGTTTGTACCCAGTATACTGCTAATGATAAGTGGGTGATAGTAGATAATTCTTACTGTGACTCTACAAGGCAGCCTCTAGATTTTGACAGCTGTAATGTGGATGAGTGCAAGTTGGGAATGTGGCTGACGGGCCCATGGGCAAAGGTAAGACTGAACATTCAAAATATTGAAAAATTGTTACAATTTCAATAATAAAAATATCTAAACCTATTTGGAAATTCCACAGTCTATTAATTTTCTATATTTTGAATGGTTTTTTTTATGTAAAAAATTAACTAGTATGGTACATATTAACCTGCCCAGTTTTACAGAGATTTCAGCCCCTGTGAATCAGATCAATCCTAATTAACTATTGGAATAAACTCTAAAGAAAAAATGGGTATATTTTGTTTTCTTTCAGTGCTCCTGTACAACTTATACAAGGGTTCGAGTCCTAATGTGTCTCATTGAAGGTCAAGTTGTTGGCATGGAGGACTGTGACCAAAACAAACAACCACCAGATGAACAAGATTGCAACCCATCTGGTTGCTTAGGTAAATTTAACCTGCAATTTTTTTCTCAATTTGTTTCTGTATATATTTGTTCCTAGTTAAGAAAATTGATATAATGATATTTTAAACTGAAATTTTTAGAATCTTACTGTTGATATTTTCTGTTTTTTTGTGTATCCGAGGAAACCAAATTTCAATTTTACTACTTGTACTATTGACAATAAAATTACTTTGAACTTTGAAAATATTTTCTCCTTGTTGCCAAGTAACAGGTAATATAGAAAAAGTTGACATGGCTTTTTAGGTGGTAAGCATGGATTAGAATTTATGTATTAAATCACCAGGGAACAGTCTAGCCCAGTTGGTTATCATCATTTTATGTTTTCTGAACCATGAGATCTTTTTATCACTCTTTCTGTTCCATTAAACTTCATTCCCCGTGAAAATTAACCTATTGATGATGTGTATGACAAGGCCTATATTCATGTAGTAGTGTACTTTTTACAAATTTGCAAATTAGTCTCCTGGATGGCTCAATTTACCCCTAGGGATTATGCTATGCTGGAGCCCTGCCAAAAGTATTTACAGTACTAAACATGGGTTCATTTTAGTTTCTTTTTCCTTTTGATATTTTATTGATAGGATGCCCATACCATAGTTACCAACTGTTTGCATCGTGTGGGATGGTCCTGCATTTCAAAGTGATATTTAACAGAAACACATTTGTCACGCATTTAGCCCAAGTCTATGCGTGATAATGAATTATCACAAATTCAGGGGAAAATGTATTTAAAATTAGAAGAAATTGGCTTTATTAAAAATATGAACGGTCATACAGTAGCTGGAGTCATTAGAGAGCTTTCATTATCTCCTTTGAGAATCAATTCACCGAGAAAATTTCTCTTTCCAGACCAAAACAACCCAGCCAACCACGCACTCAGTAGAATCTAGTAGTCAAGTTTGGTCTTGCGTGTTCATTGTCACAACAAACAACTACCAGTTAACATGTGACTGGAACCTGGGTTCCACTGTGGTTCCGCCCCTGGACCCCAGGGC